CTAAGCTAAGCACTTCCAGCAAGTGGGAAACGTAGGTGCCTCTCTAGTTCTTGCACACAAAGCAAAGACACTTCACATCTGCCAAGCAACTAAATCTGAGAAATTTCCATGTAAGGCAGAACTCCGACAGATGGAGGAGGACTATCCACCAAACTCTGACCACAATTTGCTCCATTTGTCTCAAGGAAATTATGGCTAAAGCTCCAAAATTTTTAAAGGGCCTGTCAGCTAAGTACTTGTTTAATGCCTTCCGTGTTTATTAGGCAGCCCAAACCCTTCTGGGACCACGAGGCTGAACCACACTATCTAAAAACTTCCTCCTTGTACGTTTGCCACAGAGTTAAAAACACTCCAAAGGAAAAAAAAAGAAGAAGAAAAAAAAGCAGTTTGCAGGGTAAGGCTTCACTTAAGCCTAATGCGGCTGTCACTGGTGCCCTTCCCAGGGGTTGTTTTGCAGGAGCCTCCCAAGGGTTAGCGCTGGGAACGGGGCTCAGGCGCTCCACAAACCACAAGGCACCGCAGGGCTCGGTTCTCTCCTCGCCGGCTGTTTGGTGCCTGAGGGGCTGGGCCGTGCGGCGAGACCGCAGGCACGCGGGCCAGGAACAGGGCCCGTGACCACCAGCATGAACAGCGTCCTGTCCAAAAGCAGCAGATACCATCTACCGCAGGACCCCACAAGGTCCCCTAAGGTAAAATACATCTCAGCTTTGTCTTTCAAGCACAGAAAACCAGAAATAGTTTCTAGCTTTGTTTTAGAGGGTGTTTTTTTTTTCCTGAGATACAAACCACTTGGAGCTTTTTCCCAGAGAAAGAGACTATTTTAAAACATTTGCTTTTTTTCCTTTCCCTCCATGGGTTGTCAAGCATTTAGGAAGAGACCTATTTTCAGGATTAGGGGCCGCTTGGAGTTTTAGTTAGGCTGCAGGACAGAGAGGTGAGGCTATCTGCAGTTTTGGTACAACTCTTAGCAAAAAAAAAAGTTATTTCCTGATTTCTTGGTATGCAAAAGCTACATATGCCTGCTGCTGACTAAAATCAAAGAGAAAGGAGGAAGGAAAAGTCATGGCAAACACACAAACAAAACCAAATCAACTACAAAGTAAAACATTAAACCACTCCATGTGGTTTAATATTGGTACAGACCCTGGGGTCCTTTACACTTTCTTGGACACCTCTTCCTCTAAGAGTGCACTGGGCAGACAGGCTGAGGAGAGGCTCTCTCCAGAGGCACAAAATCCTGCCTTTGAACCCGGAATTATGAGCAAATGGGTGATGGCCCTCAGGAAGCTCTATGGCACAAGTCAGCTGAAAAAAAATTATGGAAAGTCCTATGAGCCTAGATTTCTAAAACACTTGCTCTAAAAAGAGCAAGGGGGATGGGGGGGACGGTGATATAAATAGCAAGRGAGAGGCTGTGTAAAGGTATCAGAAGCAGGCATGCTCCGAAGAGGAGGTTAAGAAATCTGCAGAAGGATGAAAATGGTCAAAAATCAGAAAAATGGATCCCTTAGAGAAAGCTCGAAGAAGGGTTTGGGGGCCTGATCTCATTCCCAGCTCCCTCTTTCCCTGTTCCAGCTCTGTTTGGTTTTCAGGAGAACAAAGCCAAAAGGAGGAGCTGGAGTCCATGGAGGAGCCCAACAGGCAGACCAGCCTGCTTCAGACCTGGCCCAGCTTTGGAGAGATGATAATCCAGGAAGAGGCAGAGGTTTGGAATCACTTCCAGGATTCAACTCCACAATGAGGGAGGGCAAAAACGAGGCAGCAGCTGACAAGGAAAGGGCTTCAGGACTCTGCTATGCAGGACGATTGCTTCAATTATTTAAATACAGACAAGCAACGCTGAAAATGTTGACTTTAGGAATGGTGAGGAAGCCGGGTGGTGCATTAAGGACTTGGCTCTGGAGAACTTAGTCTCCTGTTTCTGCCACTGAATCTTTTTTATGGCAATCAGCTAATTGCCTGCCCTGCCTCTATCTCAGTTTTCTTCTTGTTAACTAATGTTTACCTATTTCATAGAATCCATATGTATATGCACATTGTTTTAAAATTACTTGACGGAAAGGAACTAGGAAGGAGATTCGTGCATGAGGTTTTTTTTTTCTTTTCCTTTTTTTTAATGAAAGTGAAGTGGGGCTGGAGTGTGGGAAATTCCTTCCCTCAGCAGTCACTTACTCAACTGGCCATTTTTCATCTGCAGCCTGCTTTGAGTGGGGGGAAAAAACTGTCAAAGAATTTTAAAGCAAAACACTGCAAAACGTTATTAATTGAAGAAAGATTTCTGGCCTTCATTATYCCCACCAATGAACACAAAATTTGTACATCATCATTTGGGATATTTTCTCCCTAAAAAGGATATAGCAAATAAAACTAGGCAGACAAAAGATAAAGCAGGAAAATACTAAGGTATGGAAAAAAACAAACCATGGATACGGCAACTCTGTCAACAGTCAGCACTTCCAARACATGCACTTTTAATTTGTGTTTTATTTAGGAACGTTAGATTTACCACCATGACTTAACCATTCATCAGCCAAAGTTAGGGGGATCCCAATATTTYTCATGGAGCACCGCACAGACATGCTCATCTGTTCTTCCTTCTCCCTATATTTAGACTTATTATGTATATTACAAAATACATTTATTTCAGACCTGCAGTATTTACTGTAATATTATTATAGTTTTACCAAGTACTAGAGCATCAAAGACCAGAGGTGTGATGGGCCTCAGGGTGCCTGTACCTGGCTCCTTCCACTGCCAAGGAAGAAAAGACCCCGAAACAGCTGAGCTGGACATCTACAGCACCTCAAAACCACTGAAAACACCACAGGTTATTGGAAGAGAAATGATGTGGCTGATGGGGCTGCAGGGACCATTGCCATCCAAAATAGAGGTGAAGTAGGTTAAGGCAAGTCTTTCATSACAGATCACTAAACTTTTCCTTATTTTTAAGTAACAGGAAGTATTTTAACTCTTCACTTAAGCCACCCCCATTTCTGCAGCCTTCCTTCACATAYGATCCATGCTATATTTTTGCAGAGGTAATTCCTGCTTGTCTTCTAAAATTTAGTCTATTTCCCCTGTATTTCCCCTGCTGTCAAAGGTGTTGCCCGCACTCTGAATGCAGCTGGTTACTGTGTGTTATACGCAATGGAGGGCATCCTACATGTGAGACCAGAATCTGGTTCATGGCATTTAAACATTCAAGTACTGGACAAACTCCTAAGCTAAGCATAGGAGCAGCACTGATAATAGTAAAGGGAAAAAAATAAGCTGGAAGATAACAGAGTATTTCAAAACTGATTCTGAAGTGTCATATGAGATCTCTGGCCTCTATCCAGATTGCTGCTTGAGAAGAAAATCCAGTCTATCTTTTTCCTCTGTGAAAGCCAAAACAGCCTGCAATAAAAAGGAATTTTTGCAAGAAAAAGAATAAGCAGTTGCACACTCTGGACTYGATTCCTTACCTAGGTATCTTTTCCTTAGCTATGCATTTTTTCTTTTTTTGGTAAATGTAGCGTTCTGCTGCTTGCACAGAGCTTTGTTTGAAACTACCCAAGAATAGCTCACATAAACAGTGTGTGAGTAAGCACAATGGGCTCAACATGCTATAAGCAAAACTCTTTAGTCTGTAAGCTGAAGGGTTTCTTCAGTTTTTGGCAGAAAGATCATTTCAGAATGCTAATAAATGTACATTCAAGTCATAAGGCTTTTCTCAGCTAAAGATTTACATGGGCCTCCTTCGTATCGGTCACAAAAGTATTTTAAGAGTTTGGAAACTCTAGAAGCTTTTCCCCTGCCTTACTCAGCCACTCAAACTTGATCCTCATTAAATCCCTTGACATGTAATATATTCCAGCATACAAGCAGCCCTTCATTACTTCTCGGTGCTCGGAAGGTAATAAACCCATTTCAAAGCATAGAAGCAGGAACTATTGCAGGTGTTTCCTTACTACTCCACGCCGTGCCAGGAAGGTCATGCTCACAGCCTGAATGAGTGAACCACATTGCCAGCACTGACTTGAGCAGTATCGTTTTTAGATTTCCATTAGGAAGGTTTCTCCCCGTGCAGAAGTTTTAGGGAGGAATTCAGTGGGCGGGCAAGATAGGTGCCAGAGATGGTCATTCCACATCCAGTGAGGATACCAACGGTGGGCTCAGCAAGGGGCTGCACGTCTGCAGCCACACGTGTGCTCCTGACCCTACAGCTCGGTACTCACCTTGGCCTCTCTGCCTGCAAAATGGGGAGAACTAATTGAAAGGGCTCCCTGCCAGAGCCAGCTCACCCAAAACAGAGCACTGGGATCTCAGGTGGAAGCCATGTCCCCAGTGCTACTGTCCTACCATTAGATAAATAGGAACTGTTTTTACTTTTGAAGATTCAGAGCAGGTAGATGCTAGATTGAGCTCTTCACTGGGAATATTTCTGTCATACATTTAGAGGAAGGTAAGTACAGAAGTACAAATTTGTCTAAAGACCATCTCAAACTAATATTTCTCTAATGTATTAAAATGAAGTATCAGGAAGTGTTTTGATACTTTTGTCACAGATAATGAGTATTTTGACTACGGAAACCATGACTGTACAAAATATGCCATAACAAGGACAGATTTTCCTTTATCCCTTAACGAAAGATCCACTGCTCTCCAGACCTCCCTTCTCATGGATTACTTGTTCTTAAGGGCACAACTGAGTCTTAGACATTGTCGTAGGAAAAAAACTGGGCCAAGAAGAAACTATTTTTCTTGACTCAGAAATGTTTGTGAGGGTGTACATATTGCAGCATTACTAGAAAGAGCACCTTCACTGCGACACCTATGTTGCTTTAAATTCCATTAGTGTGACACCTGTGTTGCTTTAAATTCTAGTCAGATTCTTAGTTACTTGTATGTATATATTTGTATGTATAGATGGAGCAGACTTGCCTTTGGATCCTTCTCTTCAGGTGCTGCAGAAACTCTCCTGTGACTGCTTTTATTCTCGGGCTGTGGCCCTTTCTTACCTGTGTAATTAGGAGGGCAGAGACAGACATAGTTGTTGATCCCGTCCACGCACGTAGAGTTATTCTCGCAGTCGTTATCTTCGCAGTCATCTGGGTTTATTTCACACTTCTCCCCCTCGTACCCAAGGAGGCAGGAACAGCTTTGGAGAAAGAGAAGAAAAGCATTAGCATGAAAGGGGCAGGAGGCTTTGGGCACAGAGCTGTAATTAAAACATATACCAGTGAGTTGCTAGAGCCAAATCAACTGCTGCTGTGAAGCATGAAGCAGCTTAACTGTGTGTTTGGCCAAGGATGCAGTCTGGCAGTTCCTGCAGACAGGCAGTTATTCACGTGAGAGCTACAGCAGCAGCAGCAGAAAGCCTCCGTCGTGTCTCCCACTGCTTTCTTTGCAATGAGATAACCCTAGCCCTGAGTTGAAGCAAGCAACTCGAGGGCAGAAGAGCAAACATTCATCACAATATTCAGATCCTTGGCTTCTCTGCTGATGATTTTGTGAGGATGTAGATCCTTGTCTGTCGAGGACTGCACAATCCTAGGGCGCCTTGGCAGTGTTTAGATGGCTCTCTTTCTTTAAAGAACAACTTGAATTGAGTTTGCAGACACGAACATTTTCTTCTCATTACCACTTTGTCACTTGTCCAAACAAGAATCGCTTGGGAACGATCGCTTTTACGAGTGCAGTGCCATTCCAGCACTTCCACAGCTCCTCCAACTTGTACGCGTAGAGGAGCTGATGACGTCTAGATAATTTAACTAAAACTAAACACAAACAAACACGGGCAGAGCTATTGGAGGTTCGGCGAGGATGCAGACACTACTGAAGAATATCTGCACCAAACACTTAGCCAGGTGTGCTCCCTTCAGGCAGTCTAAGAAACTAAGGAGTTCAAGAACAGCTTTCACTTCTTTCACCTTCAGTTTCCTCTCTGTATCTAGCAGTTATGGTTGCTAAGAGAACCTTTATATTTTAAACTAACCAAAAGTGATGAAGAGGTGATGGCCACAGTTTCCAAAAAGACAGCCTAAAAACATGTGTTAAGTGCTCCAGTCGTTGCAGGGGCTTCTACGAAGCCAGTGATGATATTGGAAGTGTCAGCATYGCTGTTCACTAGTCACTGAGAGCGCCTGTGTGGATGGAGAGGCTTGTCTGGAGTCCCAGTCCAAACTACACGTTCTCATTCATCTGCTTCTTTCCTTTCCCATGCAAGTTCTGGTGGCAGGAAAGGAACTGACCAAATGTAAAACACCGCTGATTGATGAGGATGAAAACCAGAAAGCAGCGGAGCTGTCCCACTAATTGCTAGCCACTGCTTCCTGCAGCCAGCACAGTTTCCAGTGCAGAGAGGGCTGGGGGGTATTTTAGCCGGCCGAGACGGACAGAGTGGATGTGGGGCGGTTATCATGTAGATGTCATGGGGCTGAGGCGGAGAGTGTGCAGGAGAAATAGGAAGTCTGCAAAATCTGTGAAAACCCCCACAGCTTTTGGGCTGGCTGCTCTCACCACACTACTTACTTCTCTTCTCCCGTACTCAGCAAGTGAGCAGCGCAGAGGCCTCCAAGCGTGGGGTCCTATATGGCTCCACATGCACCTAAACCAGCCCCTAAGGAAAGAACAACTTCGTGGCATGGGCAACCTCAGAAACTAAGGGAATGACCAAGGAGGAGAAGGGGTAGGGAGCATGACTTAGCCTAACACAATAAGAAGACTTTCTATAGGGTCCCAGGCCAGGCACGCAAGGTCACAAGCCAACAGACTCCCTTTCAACTCTGCAGTGACCAGTCGCAGGTCATAGGCCTTAGAAACTCTTCACCACGAGTAACTACAAACACACTGTCCAGATCAATCCAACTGAGGACACAATAAAGCAGTGAAAGTATTTTCTTTGCCTGTCTCTGTCTCATTATTGCCAAAAAAGCACGTCCTCTCGCTGACCCTGCAATGATSCAGCGGATCAGGGGAGGCAGATAAGAAAGAAGAGCAGGCACAGCAGCTTTTGTGGCAACAAAAGCACCGGGGAGGGGGCAAAGCCATCTAATTAAATAAAGTGGCACATTCATCATGTCACCCTTTTCGATTACAAAACCCCATTTTCAGGGGTTTATAACTCAGCCATAAAAATATGCTCCAGGCTGCAACTTGGCATCCAAGGTCTCAGCTTGGAAGAGTTTTTTTCTCTCCATTTAAAGAAAAGCAACAAGAGTGGCTTTGTGCTGGCTATTTTTGTGTCTATCTGACATGACTTTCTTGCCACAAAAGGACTGGGAAAGTTTGGGTGCGTGCAATTAAGAACAACGTTATTAAATACTATCACTGGAATGGTTCGAGTCAGTAGAGTTACCAATAGTAACAGTACATATGGGATTGTGAAAGTACAATTGCTCAGTATTAGGACACATTTCATACTGAAAGAAATGTCAGCATAATTAATGACATTTGGCTACCAGCCCCTATGTCTTATGAGGAGTCTTTGCATTACTACTTACATATCTTTCTTTATTTTGATTTGCATTCAAATGTGCCAAATATGAGGGCTGAAATTAAATGATAAAACATACAATTTGGGACCCGGATTAAACCACATGTTGAAAGAAGGACAGTTTGGGACTGTTTGTATGCATTTTCCCAGAAAAAGCACTGAAGAAAAATGAAGTTTGCAGAATGACTGGGAGGTCACCAAACCTGGGTTCCAGCTGACCAAGACAGAAAATATGTTACATTAGAGACAACGATGAAAAGTCAATACTAAGCAGTGTGAGACGGCACTTCTTGGCGACCTTGGAAACCACAGACCCATGCAGGAAAGCAGTGTTTTCTAAGCYGCTGTGACCTAAACCACATATAGGTGTTCAGTTTAGGGATTTTGTTTAGGGATTTGGGGCTGATACGTACCTTCTAAGTTTACTGTACCAAAATAGTTTGTAGTTTAGCAGTTGTGCATTAAAACAGGCACATTTACTTTTTTTTTTTTAAATCAACTTTTGAATAGAAATAATAAATTATCTGGAGAACATTACTTTTTTTCGGTAGAGGAACCTGGCCTTTACCAGGAAAAAGACCTGGGCGGCCTGCAAACCTACCTTCAAGCTTCTGCTTGAACTGGCAGCATTGCCCCCGGGGAGTTAATCTGCTCCAGGTTCTTACATTTATGAGGAAACTGGAAGTTTGCTGAAAGCCCTGAGCAAGGGGGTTCTTTTTGTCTAGAGAAAAGTGAAAATAAAGGGGCCTGGTTTCCTGGCTCTGTGCACTAGTGAAGACCCTGGCTTTGCTGGTGACTAACGCTGAGGCGAGGCCGACAGCTCTGCCTCGTCAAGGCCTCGCTCAGGACGCGCTAAATGACGCGTCTCAGTGACCATCTCCATGACCTCTGCCTTTTTTTGGGCCACCTTTTGTCAATGCAGACAGATTAGATCAGAATGGGTTATGTCAAGCTTCACATTCCTCATCCGCTGAGCCCTCTGGTGCCACATAACCAGCATTTGACAGGGGAAAAGTCCCTACTTAGAACAAGCTAATGTGATTCAGAATAAACCAAGCTCAAGGATGAAGCGTGTGGAGAAGGCTGGGAGCGCTCAAGGTGACCTTGTCCCCTGGCCTCCCTTCAGGCCCTGCTGTTGCTGTGAGCCCCAGGACCCCGAGCTCAGAAGGACCATGCACGTGTGGTGCCCACCTTGGTCTCTCCATCACAACTGCACATTTCCTCTCGCTGCCTCGTGAACACCACTGCCTCGTGAACACCACCGCCACTGCAGTATCTAAAAGCTGATTTTCTTCTCAAAGGCTACAGAAACTTGAGAGTTAAACTGCTTGGCATTTCGCAGGGAGAAAGCTTTGGCTTAAGTTTCCTTTTTACAAGAGTAAAGATTTGACAAGTTTGGCAGCAGAGCTTGTRTATGAATATATTTCCCTAGGGAAGAGAATATATAGAAGATATAATTTCTTTTACAGGCCACACAACAGAAAAAAAATCCAAGGAGGCCTCTTGTGCAAATGTTTTTGACATTCACTTCCTTGTAGCATATAATCTAAGGCAACGTCTTCCCATCTTCATGCACACAATTCATATGCACGTAACTCTGGCTGCTGCCATCCGCTGGAGATTTCCCCCAAAATAAACAGAATCACAGAATGTTTCTTTATCTTCCTTCATGGCCTCTTCCATTCCCAGTCCACATTTCCCTATGCTTGGTCTTGTAGCTTGTGTTTTCCAGGGCAGCTGGGGCCATGCTGGGGAGCAAGAAGACTACAGCAGTGCAAAGGATGAACATTCAGTTTTGTGAAAGCAAGATTTTTGGTGAGATACAGTTGTCTGCATCTTTCATGAGACTAACTGAAACTATGTAAATAACTATAAAAGCAGAAATCTTCCCCAGAATGGCTCAAAATGCTATTACACAAGAAAATCACCAATGAAGTATTATGGACTTCAAAAACTATGTTCCTTCTTACCTGATCAAAGACCCTGAAAAATGTAAATGTCTTCAAAAGAAAAATGGAGTTGCTTTCATTTCAAATAATATAAAGCTTGCTATTTATACGCCACAGAACAAAATCCTGAAACAAAACTCTGATCCAAAATATAAAGTGAGAATTGCCATTCCACTATTAAAAGTTTATAAAATGTTTTACTAGCACATTTTTTACTRTCAATAGATTTTGCAAGTGATTAGCAAGTGACAGAAATAGATATTCCAATGGTAGGTTCAGTGCTTTTGCAGCCAACTCTATAAGAGGATCTATGTAATTCAGTGTAGTCTAGAATAAAGCAGATAACATATTTCATGTTACATCTCTGCTCCGGCCTAAGCTTGCCAAATCAATTCAAACATGAGTGACCAAAGGGAACCCAACCTGAAGACCACTTGAGGCTACTTCTTGACCAGAAACCGGACCTGAATTATTCCTCTGAATAACTGGGCCTGTGAGCATCTGATTCTAGAGGAGGAATTTCTGGTTCCTGGTGCAGAGTAGTGTTGTCACTAAAATCAAGAGGGACCCCACCAAACACCAAGACCACAGCACTTGCTATGGCCAATGGAGCCTTCTCGTTGTCTCCCACTGCAAGGCAGCAGGACAACTGATGTATCCGTGTCTTGGAGACTCCCCGGGGCATCCATAGAGAAGTCACAAGGCTTTCCTGGGAGTACAGAAGGTGTCCAAGCTTTGGGAGGGGAGCAGCACAGGGCACCCCGTGCTGCAGACGAAGCCCTATCAGGAACCCAGGTTTTCCCATGGCCCTTTGTAATCTGCAGAAACTCTGTTTTCTGCCACAAATGGATGTGTGTTTGCCAGCCTGGTGAGCAAAGAGTTAACCTCAGCTGGAACAGTCTCAGGCACAGCTGAAACCAAACTGGAACCAAACAGAAAAAATGTATTAGTTTGCCTCCTTGCTTACACCATTTGTAAACCTTGCAGTTGTGTGTCGCACTCCAGCTGTCACTGATAGGGAGCTATACATAGGAGGAGACAAAGCAGGCAGCRTGAGTAATGCAGAAATGCTTTTAGAAGTGAGGATTTCGGGTATGCACTTGAAACAACAGTACAGAGTCATCTTGCACGTATTTTGTGCAAGAAATAGCATAAACACTGAGGACCAAACGCATGCAAGTTTCAGCAACTATTCTCAAAGAAAAAAAAAATTTAGCAACTTTAACGACATTAAGCAGACAAAGCCTCAATCTTCTATTTCCTTACCTGAAAAGTAGTGCATATAGTGATCCAAATTCCCCTAATTACCTCATGAAAATGTCTGGACTTCTCTGCAATTTTCCAGCTTTTTATTGCATCTTACTTACATGGGAAAAGTGAAGGCCATACTGCCTAGCTGTAAAGGTTATTCTCTTGCAGGCATTATGCCCAATATGTGGCAGTCTCTCCATGTTTCTTAATGGTTTCTTTAAAGCCTGTTTGTCTACAAGATTCTTCAGTATGAAAACATTTTGCATCTGGTTGTCAAGCAACAGATGCTCATTTTACAAACACAAAAAAGAGTATATGTGATTTTGAGATGCCCCAAGGAAAATTAGCATACAGATAACACAAAGCAGATCAGGGAGACAGCTCAAAATAGCTCTGAGAGTACAACCCATTATGAGAAAATAAGGATGCCTGTTTCAGAGGAAACAACATGTCACCAAAGAAACCAGATCTTTTTTTTTTTCCTTTGGTCTGGCAAATAGAACTGTCACATGCAGCAGCTTTTGTAAAGTAGCCATTAGAATTAATTAATGTAAAGTAGAAACACACTTATTTTATCATCCTGTTTTAAATGCACTTTGTGTTACTACCTGAATCCATCTTTATTTGCCTCGGTGAGGTGGCAGGTCCCTCCATTCTGACAGGGATTTTGAATGCAAGAATTAATGGGCACGCTGCAGTCTCGACCCTATTTGGGAAAATTCAAAAGAAACAAGATTAGTAAGACTCCTGTCATCTGAACCAACATCTCTTCCTTGCACAGCCCTGCGTGTGGTCTTTGGGCCTGTTTCATCACCTCATGCTCTTCAGTGACCATCAGATAAGTTCACGGTGGAATAAAGACATGTGGAAGTCTGACAATACTCAAAGGATCTCTCTACTCCTTYTAAAAAGGTCCTGTTAGCATGGCTCTCTGCCAGCTCTTTTCCTGCAAAGCTGATGCATGACTGCAATTAAAGATGAGAATATCTCAGGCAATATGTTAGTTCAGTCAGGGTAATTGGAATTTTTGGCTTCAATTTAAATATGATGACTCATATGATCCTTCAGAAAAATAACAATGCTATATCTGCTCTTAATATTCTCTAAATAGAGAGGGCAGATGCCAGCTCATGACACTGTTTCATAGCAGTTTTAACTTCTTTAAGCTAGTACTGAACACCACCACAGTGCAATACAGAGTCCCTAGATCCCAGAGCTACAGGAACAGTCCYGGTTACCCTGCCACTGCCCGAGAGTTTTCCTTGCTTACGGTGCTCATCAAAAAACGGTCCTTTCTCCATCAGATTTGCAATGATTCCCAGCCTTTTCAGGCATGTGATACCTAGTGTGATGCCCTGGAGTGCAGGACCCTCAAATAAACATTTCTATGCACTTATTTTATGMAGTTATTTTTTATGTTTGCCACGCTGTCGAAATGCAGTGTCTTTGTACTTCAGCCATACAGTCCACACGACAGCATTACCTGTTGGTTGATTTTCCATTTTCCACTTCACTGTTCTTACTTAAAATATAATATTACACTGGAATTAAGAATGGACTTAATATCTTAACATGTTAAGCATCTTTACGCTGTGCTTGGAAGATAACTGACAAYGACCAGCTTCGCTAAAGTCGGAAAGGGCACAGAGAGGGACAGTCAAAATGCTCAAGGAGATGGAACAACTGCTTCAGAAGATACTGCAARCACTGTGACTCTCTAGTTTGGAAAAACAAAGTCTTATGGTGGGAGGATAGGACTGAAGTTCACAAAATCATGGAGGTGTTAAATGCAGGATTGGTACTTACTAAATCCCTCAGTACCAGAACTAGGGGCCACTTGCTGACATTATTAGGGGATTGGCTCAGTATGGACAAAATAAAGTACTTTTCCCAAAATGGGTAATGAGCTTCCGGGATTTGTTGCCACTGGACATTGTGAAATCAGATAATATAAAAGCAATCAGAGTAATTTGTGGACAACAGGCCCAAACCGGACGGCAATGGGAGAAGACAGAACCAGCATCCCTGGCTGGATGACGGCGGGTGCTGGGGGTTCTTTTTAAAAAGAACTTGGCTTCCCTTGCACCAAGGAACAGGCCAGTCCAGGCTCTGCTCTTCTTCCTCCGTGGACACATTTCCAACTCCACGCCCGGCCTGAAGGGGACAAGTCAGCAGGACGGGGACCGTTCTCAGGGTCTGTGCCCTTCCTGTGACAGCTCAAGATCCATTCATGCTTTAAGGACTAGACAAATAATCACTTTAATTTGTCTCAAGAGTGCTCATCAAGAAATTGGTGCAGCCTCATTAAGCCTAATTAAGGCACTAAAAAAAATAAAACATTTTGTAATCGAGAGGTGTTCCAGAGAGTCCATTTAAACTGGCTTGTCCACTGGCCTGCAGGTGCCAGGGCGGTGTTCAGAGCCCCCAAAGACTAAAGTCTTCTCCAGTAGAGCTCCAGGTAGTCCCTATGGCTCCAGGAGCAGAGCAGAGACAAGGTACCGACACGTCARTTCAGCCCCAGTCACCACAGGGAAGCTCAGTCACCACAACGGGGGACAAAACCACCTTTCTGGAGGCCCATGTCCCCCCACACTGTGCCCCAAGTTGTCCGTGCGGAGCCATCTCCTACATTTCTAAGGCTGCAAGTCCTACACCCCTGAAAAACTGACTACTTTATAGATAATTCACTAATAGCAATTACTTCTGTTTCACAAAACTCTTCAACCTTGTGTCATTCAAAGCCTTTGGAGCTGAGCACAGCAAGACACAAAGCAGAAACCGCTGCATCTGTTTTTTTCCGAAGGTTTTTATCACGGAGAAACAACATGCAAAATAGTCCCATCTCCTCTACTGTAATTATTCAGATTATCTTGTAAACTTTTAATAAAGACAAACGGTAAAACAAGAGCCGGGCATCTTCTGTCCTGCACRGTGGCACATGAAATTCCTCCCGACGCAGCCTCTGCTCCCATTTGTTTCCTGCACGTGCCTGAATTATTGGCTTCTCCAGCCTCAGACACCATGGAAACTGCACAGTACGTGCTGCTGAACCAGACAGGTAATTATAACATGGGTTGCTATGTGGTTTTGGGAAAATTAGAGCCTCTCTGACTCAGTTTACTCATTGTAATAAATGAGCAAACATCCCCTAGCCTTGTCCTGAGGATTGCCTTCCCCAAGCCGATCTGATCGGGAGCGCATGGAGTTCCCACAGAACAAGTGCTCTTTCTGTAGCACCAGAGACTAGGAAAAGCAGAGTGCCAAAGGAAAGGAAGCAGCTGGAAACACAGGCACTAATAAATCCATAGCAAAGCAAGGCTACTTATTTCTGTATAGGGTTGTCGCTACACACGGGAGCCTAAAGACAGTCTAGAAACATCTTTCAAATGAGTAATGCAATTTTCTACTCTCAATATATAGCAGGACTGTTCTTACTGGAAAAAAAGGAATTACTTTCACTGTCAAGCATCAGTAAAATTAATTTCTGGAAGCTGGGAAAAACTTTTTGAATTATATTCCCTGGAAGTAACTAGTGTTGCAGAGTAGAACATTGTGTATTTGCTTCAAGACTGAAGAGCCTTTTAATGAAGTTGGAATCGGCAGAAAAGGGGCAAGCTCTGCTTCAAGGACAGGCAGGAAGACATGACTGTCTCAGCAATTCACACACAGAGGACAAAGGTCCTTCCTCGTGTACTATATTATTTTTAGAGGTTCTTTATAATAAATTCTTGTCAGCTCTGATAGGAAAGCATCAGATCCAAAACACTCTCATATAATTTCTCTCATTTTCTCTAGGAGAGCAAAGGATTAGGTGTTGAGATGTAAAATTTGTGCAACTAAACAGAACACGTGTATGTTCAGCCTCAGGCTGCCTTTTCCCAGCTGAAAGCTGGTTCAGATTTTAGCTGAGCTGCTCAACTTTGCCGTTTTAGTGAATAAGAACAAAGTCTAGGCCATCATCCTTAAGAGGTGTCAGCTCTTCGTTGCAGGCTCAACACTAATCAGCCATACTGTGCATTAGTGTATATGCAAGCTGTTACTCACCACAGCAGTGCCAAATTYTGGCCTTCGTGTGTACCTAGTACTGGAAAACACTGTATCAGGATTAATAAAAACCCAAGAACAGGCAGCAAAAGCTAACGYGAACTTCAGGAGGAAGAGCAAAGGATAATACAGCTACACCACACACATTTGCTTTGATACTACTTTGACCACTGAAACCATTTTTGATTAAATTTCATATAGGATTTTGTTTGTGGACACCGAAAGCTTCCCTCCGGGATCTCCTGRTGGAGGTTAAACTCCACGAGATCCTTCATGTTCTCCTGAAGCAGCACACAGACCACAACCTGTGGCACGTAACTCTACCACGGGCACCACTACAGAATGGAAAGCTCGTCCTGTGGTACCYCCCCCATCCCTGGCTATAAATTCATCTACTTAGCAATGAAGACAGTTGYAGGCTGGTTGCAGCCCACCAGGCTTCAGGGGTGTCAACGGAGACCTCTCTACTGCTCATTAGAGCCCTGTTCAATGGCTAAAATATTTTAAAGCAGCCTGGAAGTGAACTACAGATGAAAAATCACCAAAGTTTATTCAAGTCGATAACAGTACACAATATGTTCATAATAAATCGTATTTACATGGTATGTGTAGAGAACAGATGGTGGCCATGTATCSAGTGAAAATACTTGAGCAAGACAAATATAGTTGGTAGAGACTTTAAATAAAGATCTAGGATTTTTTTCATAAACAACTTAATTATCATGTTCTAAACACAGCTGAAGCTTTGTAATAAATCAGTGGGTAAAATTCCCCGCTACAGAGATGCTGTATCACAAACCTAGTCCTCTGTGTCCCTGGTAGTGAAAGCCACATAGCTCTGAGTCTCCCGAGTGCCTGTACATTTGTCCTCTGCTGTCCAGGGCAGCACAGAGCAAAAATTATCATTATTGCCCTGGAAAAGCCCAAGGAAATCTACTGCATGCAAAACTGGGGGAAAATCTGCAAATGGGTAAAGTGAAATGCGTTCTACGAGCGTGCACATTCAGCAGTGCTACCCACAGTTAAAATATCTGTCATCTTGAATAATTTAGCCTTTTTGTACCATGAAAATGAGAAAAAAAACGACACCCAGTCACTACCTATGCATAGCTTTGCTCTCTTCCCACAGAGCTGAGAAGCCCCAGCTTTGGTGAACGCAGATTGTGGAGCTATTCTGCTACGTGCTAATTGCCTGAGATCCTCTCAGACCTCCAAAGGTCTCGGATCACAGTGAGGGGTAAAATTCAGTGCAAAGCAAAACAGGATTCCTGGTCTTCTATGGAAAAGAATAAGGTGGGATGAGAGGAGCGAAGAAGGGAAAACACATCCAGAAATAAAGACAACACTGTCGTCAGCACTGACAGGCACTTTGGCTTAAGCTCTGGCTTTTTGACTTGAGTTTTGTTTCTGTGATGCTTAGTAAAGCGAGAACTATGATGAAAGGTTTCCCTGCAGATACAGCGTTCAGCTGTCTAATAAGGGACAAGCTGATTGCTACAGTCTTTTACCCAGCACAGCTTTGACAGCCTCTTCTTCTTGCAGTTGAAACCTTTCTCCCTTGTCACAAATGCTCAAAGCTGGACAGTAAATTCAAATATTCTCAGGGCAGAAAGGCAAAGAGGTGCCTTGCACAAAATCTGACCACATACAGCTCCATTTCAC